GCCTGCCCCACTTCTGCTCTGCCAGTGTGGGCCCAAGGTCCCGCGCTGGGCGGCATCGCTGTGTGCTGATGACCACAGCAAGCGCCTGGCAGCGGTCCTGACTGCTCCCTGACCAAGGGGCTCCAACAGCACACCTTCAATACTCCCATTTCTGGGGGCGGGGACATGAGGTGCCAGACATCTTGGCTTTCAGCGGTACCCTCCTCCCAGCTACCTTCTCTCCGCGGTGGACAGGGCAGAGGGCAGGAGTGGGGGAGCTCACTCATGTCTCTTCCCCTTGCTAGGTAGGGAACCTGCCAAGTCGGGGTGGCAGGAGAGAGGGACGCATGAGCCTCCTGCCTACCACCCCGCATTCCCCCTGTGTGGCTCTAGCCCACCAATATGAGGGTCCAGCCTCTGGTAAGAGAGGAGGAGGAGCAGAGGGAGGAAGGTCTGCAAGAAAGGCAGAGTGGGAGTACTGAGTCCTCTAAGCCAGGCTGTACCCCACACAATGGCAGGGTGACCTCATCAGAGGTCAAATGCCATGCCTCCTCAGCCCCCAGCTTCTCCCCTTACCCACAGTGAGGTAAGGGGGCTCGGCAATACTCTGGCTGTGGGCTCTATGCTGGCAATAAACGAGGGCCTAGAGAGGCATCCAAGCCACAGCCCCGCTACCCTGACAGGGTCTGTGCCACACCAGATCATCTCAGTGACTCCATGAGCCCCACATAATGGCAAGGCTAAACAGTTATGCATCACAGCAGGGCCAAGGCTGGACCTGAGGCTCATCCTGTACAGAGCATCTGGAAGGAATCCAAAGGCCCAAAATGTGGGCAGGCTCAAGAGCCCACCTGGCTCTCCGTAGGCAGCATCAAGCTGCGAAGGAGTTACATTCTGCCCTGGGGTCTGGTGAGGAGATCCATCTCCCAAAGGCCTTGGGCCTAATGGCGAGCACATTCCCTAAAGATGCTTCATCAATTAGGGGTGAAATTTAAACCTGGCTCGAGTGGGCACTCTACACACTTAAGTGAACAAATGAGCCACATCAGGAGGAAGGCCACAGAGCTGGATGTTCAGGCACAGGCCATTCACTGAGAGCGTTGCAAGGGAGGGAAGTGTTCCCTACCTGACTCACACCCTGCCAGCAGAGCCCAGCAGCTTATCTAGGAGTACGGCTGTGAGGCGTCATGAGGAGCATCTGTGACCCCCAGGCACCATGGGCCAAAGTTCATTTATGATGCTTTATGTAGCCCAGAAGCTGAGGCCCTGGGGTTATCCCACTGGAAACAGCAGAAAAAGAACCACAGGAAGCACCTAGCCAGGTGACCTCCCGGCTGCTGCACAGTGGCCTGGGCTGCCCTGGTGTCCCCGTCCTCACCCAGTCCTAAAAGACACTCCACCACAAAGCCACAGCTAGGAGGCCAGAGACACACGTGCATGTTACTGAGGTAACGCTGGAGTGAACCTGGTGGGAGGCACTCCTGACGAGTTTATCTTAGCATGTTGAATGCCATGATGGAGAAGTGTCTTGAGGTACATATCAGTCCCTTAAGGGCTGCAAGCTGAAGCTAACAGTAATGCTCTTTGCCTGATTAATTATGCATTAATGTGATCATGTCTACCTCATCTACCCCTGGACTTGAGAGCAACACAATGAGTCTAACATAATGCCTGGAATTAGTAGGGGCCTACTTAAAGAAAATATTCAATAAACACTGGCCAAGGAACTGGAGACCTGACTCAAGTAGTAGAGCATCAGCTATGAGCAAAGAAGTCAACTAAGAGCATAAAGCTCTGAGTCTCAGAGCAGCGCGCGCGCACGTGCATACACATATGCACACACAATCACAAACCAAAACTGCTGGCTTACTTCTATATTTCTAGCTATGCAGATGCCTGAGACGATATTTGAAGCCAGCCAGGGCAGGAAAAGTCTAAGAGACTCTTATCTCCCATTAACCAGTAAAGTCCAGATGTAGAGGTGTGGCTGAAGTGGTAGAGCACCAGCCTTGAGTGAAATAAACTAAGCAAGAGCATGAGGCCCTGAGTTTAAGTCCTAGTACTGTCAGATGTGCGCACACACAATACAAATACAAGTACACACACACACACAGTCACACAGAAAGGAATATGCTTACTTCTGGCTGTGAACCAGGTAAGCCTGGCTGGTGTCCCTATCTATCTCTTAGAGAAGCTCAGAGCCCTTGAAGGGAACAGTGACTCCATGCTGCCACAATTTCCACATGGATGAGAATGAGGAAGGGGGAAAAAAATCACTGGAGCCAGAAATGTGAGGTGTCCCCGCCCCTCAACTCACTCTGAGGTCTCCCCACCTGCCTCCCCCGCTCTCAGGGAGGTCCCAGAGCAGCTGCAGTGGTGGCATGCCCTCCTCCATGTAACCAGAGCTGAGTGAAAAGCTAGTGCCTCATTAGCACATAAAGCACAGGCTGCCAGCGGCCCAAAAGTGCCGCACGTCCACGCAAGAGCTTTTCTACCCATTGGCTGTCATGTTGACACAGAGTGACCTCAGGGTATAGAGCCAGGGCAATGAGCGGGTCAAACTCAAGAAGAAGTGCAGGGAGACGCTTCAACCACAGTCAGGTCACAAACCCAGGAAGGGCAGATTCTGAGGGGAGAAAACATGATTCTTTTTTGCTTTTTGAGAAAGGGGCTATGAAGTTTGGGCTGAAGTTGAACTCGAGACCCTCGAGACTGCCTAAGACTGCAGGTGGACACCATGCCTGGCCCATGGTCCTGTTTCTTGTGATCTGTGTTTAGAAGGAGCTGGCTGTTTACTCCCAAATGACAGGAAAGGGACACAGCACTCCCAGGAACCTGGCCACAAGGTTTCTTTCCACACACTGCCCAGGACTGGCTTCAGATACCAACCCTCCCTTGCTGTTTCTACTAAAACTGCAGTACAGCACTGCAGGCAGAATGTAAGGCCCTGGATTCAGCCCCATAAACCCATGTGCCAGGCGTGGAGACACAAGCCCGAACACTGGGTTCTGCGCCGCTTACTTCTGGTTACACACCTACAGGGAGTCATTGGTTTTACAGTAAATAGATTGCTCAGAGGAAAACATCTCTAAAGTAGAGGGTTCAAGGTGTCTCATCTGTGATAATTGGGCTACCTCCTTCTAAGAAAAGTTTGGGTCTCTCTGGTGCCTGTCCCTGCTGGTGGTGTCACCAGAACTGGAGGTTGCCTGGTGTCCTTTCCAGGGGAGCAGGGGAGCTCCCATGCTCTGCCTCAGCCAGGATGATGCAATGTTTTATTTGGCAGGACAAGTGTCAGAGTGCCAAAGTAGAGGGCTCGTAACAGCAGGGACATGATGATTTCTCATTCTGCACTGTCTGGCCATGCCTGGCAAACAAGTTCACTGGGAAAGTCATCTGCCATTGGCGAGGAGTGCCTGCCAGGGCTTCCATGTAACAATGCAGTCTATGGTAATTCCTAGCATGCGTGGATGAGTGGGGAGAGGGGATTGGAAGCCAGGTGGCAGCACCCACTTGCCCTGTGCCCAAGTCCCAGACACACCCTGCCTAGAGAGGGAGGCGGCAGGTCTGCACCCGCCACCTCCTGGGAGCTTAGCCCAGTCTCTTTCAGAAGCCATCACAGACAGTGCTGGAAGAGGACTGAGAATGATGGAAAGGTCTAGACGGTGCACAACACAAAGGACCATTCGACAAGACAGCAGTCTAGACTCTTCAGAGGTCACCACTAAAACAGAGCAGAGAGGACAGTTCTGGATGGAAAGGGACTAAATGCAGTGAGCATACTGATTACATCCTGGTGTAAACTCAGCCATGACACTTTCAAGCCAACTGAGCAAAGAGGAATATGGACCCAACAAAACTTTATGATGAATATTTTTTACCTAAGTCAGAGCGATGGCTCAAGCCCATCATCTTAGCTACCTGGAAGTCAGGGATGGGGAATCATATCCCACTACCAGGACAAAATGCAGGAGAAGAATGAAGGGAAACTGGAAGGCCAAAGAGACAGTAAGAGCACTAACTGAATATAAACAATTTGTGTGTGTGCCATTACTGGGGCTTGATCAGGGCTCTTGCTCATGGCTGGTGCTCTACCATTTGAGCCACTCCTCCATTCTGGCATTTTGTTAATTAAAGATGGAAACTTGCAGGTTTTCTGCCCAGTCTGGCTTCGAACCTCAATCCTCCAGGCCTCAGCCTCCTGAGTAGCTAGGATTATAGGCGTAAGTGTCCAACATAAACAGAAGATTTAACACAAGTCAAATTCTGTTGTTTCAAGAACATGGCATTAGGCTGGGGATGTGGCTCAGCAGTAGTATTTGCTTCACATATGTAAAGCCCTGGTCTGGTTTGGTCCCCAGCATTGGGGAAAAAGGAAAAAAAGAACATTACAGATTTTTTTTTTTTTTTTTTTTAGCCAGTCCTGGGGATCGAACTCAAGGCCTGGGCACTGCCCGAGCTTCTTTTTTGCTCAAGACTAGCACTTTACCAGCTGAGCTACAGCCCCACTTCCAGCCTTTTCTATTTATGTGGTATTGAGGAATCAAATCCAGGGTTTCCTGCATACTAGGCAAGCACTTTACCGCTGAGCCACCTTCCCAGCCCCTGCAGAGCATTTTAAGACAGCTTCTCTTTATGATTATCCCAAACCGTCAGGCAATTGTACTTGTTTTCACACCTCAGGAAAAAAGTCCTACCAATACCTGAGTGTCTCAGTCATCTCATGAAATGTGTCACACGTCTGAATAGGGCAGAGGACATGATGACAACCCCTGTCCTGCCCTCAACTGGCTGCTGTGGAGCTGGCACAGAAGGGAGGACATGCGCCCTGCCACACCTGTGGTCCTGAGACAGACTTTCTCATACCACTAGCATGGAGGCCCCAAAAGTCTAACACTCTGCCCTTCTCCACCCAGAACATCCCACACTAAAGCACAGCTTCCAGAACTCCAGAGGACACAGCCTCCCACAGCTTCCTGAACACGGCAAGCAGTCTGATGGCTATGATCCGGCTGCCCTCTTACCTGTAGCTTCAATGTACTCGATGCATCGTTCAATGAAAATGGGGATTGGTTTCTCTGGAGTCACGACAGTTGTTAAGGGCACCCCAAAATAATTACTCTCCCAGGTTGCCTTTGTGATAGATGGTCGGGGTTTGGGCTTTGGTTTCTGTCCACAAAAGAGAAAAAGGAAACAAACACAAAATTAGAATATCGGCACATACCCGAAGACCACTAGACAGCAGTGCACAGTGCAGGGCCTTCTGGAAAACTCATCTGGCTAGTTTTGCATGCTACAGCTTCCAAATACCATACAAGACAGTGGGAAGAGGCCACAGTCACACTCTGAGGTGCCACTGTTATTAAAACAATCTTCAGAAACAATGGGTTGGAAAACAAGCAGTCCCCTTCCTCTAGGAGACATCCGGCATGCACGGTGCTGCAGCTGGCTACCCCACGTAACAATCCCCTGTCCACCATCCTGGGGTTAACTCCCAATGCTCTTAGCACTATTAATACTGAGATGATCTGCTTCAAATCATTCATCCCTTTTATTTCATTATTTGTTTGTGCCAGTAGTGGGACTACTGTTAAAATATCTACTAAAAAGAAGAGGGTTATGCTGGACGCTGTAATCGCAGCTACTCAGGATCACAGTTTGAAGCCAGCCTAGGTAGGAAAGTTCAGGATCATCTTTTCTGACGGGCCAGCCTCAGACTGAGATCCTCCTATGTATGCCTCCCCCATAACCAGACTATATCAATGCACCACTTTTTCTGGTTTGTTGGTTGAGATGGGGGTCTTGCTTACCTTCTGACTGGGCTGGCCTTGAATCTAGATGCTTGCAATCTCTACCTTGTCTCAAGGAATTGAACAAGCATGTGCCATCATATCTGGCTTGCCATTTTTTAAGTGAATTATCCAGGATCACATAGCAAACTGGCAGCAGAGCTTATACCATGTCCAAGATGGTCTCCCACTTTCAATGAACTTTTTTTACTCTAACTGGTGAAGGAAGACACGGTCACAGCCAACAGTGCACTAGATGTCACCCTGGGAGAAGAAAAAGGACCCGAGGGCTGTAAGCACACAGCAGTGCCTTGCAGGGTTCTACACTCTCTGGATGCACTCTTCATTCTAGCTCCTGGGGAACAGTAGCTATGTAGCTTGTTCAGGGTGCCAACGTTTAGGTGTCAACTTCATATACTCTCTTCTAGTGCCTATAAATGTTTTTATTCATGTCAAATACCCAAACATTAGGGCTAGAGTCCAAGCCCAGAACCAACACACACTAGAACATCTTGCTTCTGCCCCTACCTACCTCAGCTTTGCAGGCTGAGACAAACAGCATATACTATTTGCTGGGGACATGGGGTATGAAATAAAATTTCACTTAAAGGACCAAGGCCCTTGATTTAGAAGCACAAACTAAACAGGAAGACTGTCTAAGTGCACGCTCCTGACTGGGAAGATTGGCAGGTTTCTTGCAGACCTCTAGAGACTCACTAGGGTGGTGGCCATTAGACTGGATTCAAACGTTTAGCTCCTTTACTTCTCAGCAGCATTAGCTTGGGCAAGTGTTTAATCTCTGAGTCCTAAAGTTATCTCATCTCTAAAGGTGAACGAAATCACCTCCTTAAAACACAGAAAAGAGTCAGGCATAGTAGTGCCCGCCTGTGAGCCTGTGATCAGCTATTCTCAAGGTGATGGCAGGAGGAATCCAAGTTCAAGGTCAGCCCAGACAGGCAGGTAGCAGCATCCTGGGGTGCTGTGGGCATAGCTCAATTGGTACAGCACTTGCCTGGGATGTGTGAGGCCCTAGGTTCAGTTTTCAGCATGGCAAAAAAAAAGAGAGAGAGAGAGAGAGAAGGAAAGAGTATCTGAGCCAAGGAATGGGGCACATGGTGGGTGCTCCCTAGCTTCCAGCAAGCATTTGAACAGGGACTATGCTCTTGCTTTGAGTGGGACACACTGTATCCCCACAAAGCCCCGCTCCGTGGGCATTACCTGCCCGACTCTTCCCAAGTCATTTCCTTCCCCCATTTTCTCATGGGGCTTTCCTAGCTGTCCCAGCTCAGGGTAAAACTTGGTTCACAATGCTGTCAGTATCCTGTACTGCCTCTGGTTGATAAAGACCATCCCTGCCAGGTGCCAACAAGGTGAGTATGCTGGGCACTATAGCATTTAGCATTCGCACAAGTCTCCTCCTGCACCCTGGGTGAGGAGTGGGTGAGTCCAGTTCTCTCCCTGAAGGGCAGCATGTAGGGGGGATGCAGGCCAGGGAATCCAAGGTCAGAAGAGCGCAGTCTCAAGGCCCAGGGATGAGGAACTGGTCCATTCAGCCCATGGAGGCTAGGACTAACCTTTCCTGAAGCCTGCAAGTTATGCACAGCTGAGGTCTCCAGCATTGAGCTTGCCTGTCAAAACCCACATCCCTCCCGGGATGAGCAGTCCCACTCCCCAGCTGGTTTTTATTCACACTAGAAACTGCAACTCCACTCTGGGCCTCACAAAATGAGAGCTGTGTCCACACAAAGCTACAACAACCAGCCAATTCACTGAATGCAATGAAATAAGCCAATTCAGTGTGTATGTGTATGTGGGGGGCGGGGGGGGGGGACGACAAACTGTCAAACTGGTTACTTGGAGCCTTATACACTAAACAATGCGTGATTGAACTGGGAGCTTTTCAATAGGTTGTCTTGTCATGTGGTAGCTTCAGTGGGTGAAAGATTTTCTTTATCATTCTGTTTGTCTTGTTTTTTTTTTTTTTTTTTGTCTTGTTTTGTTTTAACACAAAAATAAGAACACATCTGATCGAAGGGTAAATAGCCAATAATGTCTTTTTAAATCATGGTCAAACACACCAAGTGCAGTAACTGGAGTCAGCCCCAAAGACACAATTGTGGAGCTGGGAGGCTCAGGCGGGGCTCTGGGCGCGAGAGCCGGAGCCCATGTGTGCTCACCAGCACTGCAGACAAAGCTCCATTCACAGCCCAGTGCGATGAAGCTTCGCTCATTCAGCTGAGTGCGGAAGGCTCCCACCAAGGATGGCTGCTGAATGGTTCCTCTGGGAAAGGGACCCAGAGCAGAGGGAGCTTCAGAGGCTGCACTTCCACCGGAGATGAAAGCTCACCCTTTCCTCCCTGCCTCCAGCTGTACAGTAAAGCACTCCTCCAGCAAAATCAGCCAGGGCCACGGGGCGATTGTCAGGATAAGCGCAGAGAAAGTCGCTAAGGAACACGAGAGCCAAATTTTACTCAGAAAGGGGAGGTGGTGGTGGTGGTCAGCTGGACCTTCCCACAGGGCCTGGCTTCAGTTTCCTCCTTTTTCTAAGTCCAGCTGTGGGAGCCTCGTCACAGTGGGCTTCATTCCTCATAACCCTGCATAAAGGTCTCCCTCTTTGATCCAGGTGCCCCATGGCCAAGGGATGAAGTGGGGAGTTGGGATGTGACCACAGTTTAGCTGCTAGTCAGTACCCTTGGTCTCTGAGGCAGCCCAGCCTTCCCTGGGCGAAGGATGGTGTTCTCAGTGGCTGTGACTGTGTGTTGCCCAGAATGGGTGCTACAGCCTTGGGCCAGACTGGGGCTGTTTCCTCAGCAGTCTCTGGCATCAGAAGGGACCAATGTTCTCCATGACCAGCTGAAACCAGAGTGCCTTGGCTCCTTTCTCTTTGGCATGCTCAAAGGCCAAATCCCTCACCAAAGGGCTGGTTTGGCACTCCCTGTCCTGATGGTATTTTGCTTTTCCAGTAAAACAAGTGTCAGTCTGCATTCTTAGCTCATAACGGCAAGGCCATTTGCTCCCGGCACCATGATGACAAAGCAGCCCCACTCATTTCAAAGCACCATTCTCCAAGACAGGAAGTGACAATTTCACCTTCTACTCACTCTTTTCAAAGGACACTCCAAGCCAAGGCTGCCATGCGATTACCCTGGGGCCAGAGTTATCAGAGGAATCATTTCTATTTGACTCGAAGAGGTGTGGCCTGCAGCACTAAAGCCAGAAGGGAAGTGGCAGCTTCTAGCCATCTGACCCAGCAGTCCAAGATGTGGACCTAGGTGAGCAAGCCTGACCACAGCAGGACAGGAGCACAGCTAGCCAAGGCTCAGAGTCCAGAGGCTCCAGCTGTGCTTGCACCAAAGTGCAAGTGGTGCAAAGCAGGGCTTGTTTGGGGATGTGTTTTAAAAACATCACTTGCAGCAAGTATTAAAAAATGTCACCAAAAGTCAGAAAAGAGTGATAATTCAGTATGCTATTATGCCACCTTCCTAATTCCCAGGTGTGCCAACACTCCCACAAATTGAATGTCATCATTCAGATACGCTGTTCTGGCAACAGTTTTTACTGGGAGTGGAGGAAGAAGAGAAGAAATGCAAAATGTTCCACTATCATTAAACAGAAGCTTCAGGAACTCCAGGGAGCTGTTTTCTGGCTTCTCCACTATGATTGCTTTCGCTGGCCTGCCTCATGCTGACCTGGAGTAGGAAATACTAGAGCGAACCAAGAACCCCTCAAGGGGTAAACAGGACGTGGGGTAATCAAGGGTCATCAGCAGGCAATGGAGGTAGAGCCACATGGTACTGCCCTGCTCTTTCTGACAGTATATGGCAAGAAAACTGGCAGGAAAGTAGATGAGACTCTTATTTCACTAGTCACAATTTTTGTGTATGCCAGTACTGGGACTTGAGCTCAGGGTCAGGGTACTAAGCCTTAGCTTTTTTGGTCAAGACTAATGGTTTACACTTCCAATTTTTTTTTTTTTTTCCTGCAAGTCCTGAGGCTTGAACTCAGGGCCTGGGTACCATCCCTAAGCTTCTTTTGCTCAGGGCTGGCATTCTACCACTTGAGTCACAGCGCCATTTCCGGCTTTTTCTGTTTATGTGGTGCTGAGGAACTGAACCCAGGGATTCATGCATACTACGCAAGCACTCTACCACTAAGCTACATTCCCAGCCCCTCCAATTCTTTATTTTTTTTGGTGGTTAATTGGTGATAAGAGCCTCACAGACTTTCCTGTCTGAGCTGGCTTCAAACCTTGATCCTTAGATCTCAGCCTTCTGAATAGCTAGGATTACAGGTGTGAGCCACAAAGCAGTTCTTTAGCAGAACTTCTTTAGCTGTGATCATCATCCATCACCTTTCTTGAAAGCCATGCACTGAGCAACCATTGCTCTGACTCTGCCCAGTCTTACCTTGGTGTTCCTCCTTAGGCTGCGAAGAATATTCCTCCTCCTGGGGTCTTCATCGGTTTCATAGGGAATGACAGTGTTGTCCCCCTTGTATCCCTGGGAGGCCTGGTCCTCCTCTTTCTTCCGGATGGGGCCCAGCTCATCATCACTCCCCACGCTGAAGCTAGTTCGGTAACTAGCGAACCGTCCAAGTCGGGTGCACCTGGTCCGGTACAGCACAGGCTTGCTCACAATGGACACCTTGCGGCCGCGCTCTAGAGAACTTGTGTCCATCTCACTGTCAGAACCATTGCCACTGCCGTTGGACTGAGCTTTGTTGATATTCCGGATGGTGATGATCTTGCCTTGAGTGCTGTCGTGGGGCACCGAATATATGTTTTCCTCTTCATTCCTCGGCTTGACCACAGCATCCATAGGTTCTGCGTAGTCAGAAGGATCAAACCCATCCTGTGGCAGCCAGGGACTAGAGGACATGGACTTCCTCTGCCCATCCCGATGGCCTTGGTCCAAATAAGACAGATCGCCCTTCGTAATTTCAAAATGGACAGGAGGCTTTGGTTTGACTGGCGGAGGTACTTTGTTGTTCAGTTTACTCTCAAAGTTGCTCATGATGAATGAGAGCCCATCGTTTCCCTCCAGCTCCATAGAGAGTTTAGAATGGTCTTTGGACAGGGAAGGCAGTGACGTGTCTTCCCGAAACAGGCTGTATGACGGCGGCTCCATGTCCTCTTCGGAATCCTGCAGGTTTGAGTTGCAGAGTGGCGAGCCTGCCCGGGGGGAGTTGAACACCTCCTCGGTGGTGCTACAGGCCTCAGCAACGTTATCATACATGTGTGTGGCCTCGATGATGTTCTTTTTCTCCACCACATCTTTAAAAAATGGGTGAAAGATGTCAAGCTTATGCTGAGGTTGGCTACAGGGGAGGCTTGTGAATCTCCCGTCGATTTCCTGCGCAATCTCCTCCCCCTCCGTCAGCTGTTCCCGACTTAAGTCATTGTCCAGGACGTCTACAGCGCCATCAGTGAGTGCTACAAGTTGGATGGGGATAATATCCTGCACTTCACAAAGAAAGGCACGTAACATAGCCAAGGAGGCCTTACGTTTGGCTGAATAAAAAACTATGTACCCATGAACCAACCGGCTCTTCCGGATGCTAAATGAGGAATGGTAAGAAAGGACAGACAGCTCAATGCGCTTCTTGTGCAGCCCGATTGGAAGTTCAAGTAACACAGAGTTGTTGCTTCCACAATGGGAAGACTTACAGGTTTGGGACTGAAGGACAGGAAAGAGGATGTCATCTGCACTAAAGGGATCGCCACACATGAGACACATAACAATCCGCAGGTCCACGTCAGCCAAATCTTTGATGCTAGCAGTAGAACTGACCAAGTTTAAGTTACGCTTAGAGTCCAGGAGTCCCTTTAAAACCTGACTGATTTGCTTCTCATTAATATTCCGTCCATAACCAATGCCAGCAGAAGCAGGATCAAGAAAGACGCACTGAAGCTTGCTAGCAATTTGCTGGCCTTGTTGTATTAGGCTATGTAGGGTCTCTCCACTGGTGTCTCCTCTCTTGTTGACCAGAATTAATGTCAGGGGGAGGTGGACTAAGTGATTGTCCCGCCTGCCCAGTGTGGACTCTCTGCTCTTTTCTATGCTCTCAACGACATAGGACAGCGATTCCTTTGAATTGTAAAGGCAGAGGCAGCCATGGGGCTGAAAAGTCGGCGTCTGGAAAGAGTTCACGGGAAGCCTGACATTCCCTTCTATCGGCCTCAGGGAAAGTTCATACATTTTGCCATCTATCACATATTTGTCATCATTTGTACAAAGAGCTCGGATTTCATTGGCCAACTCTCGGGCAAGACCATCTTTGCCCAAGATAACCAAATTGATCCTATCAATGTTGGGGTCAGAGAGCGAATTCTTCTGATTGCGGTCAGATGGGCGGATGAACCTCGAACTGATCAAGTGCTCAATCTTGGCATCCACACAAGCTGGGCAGCTGGGGCACGTCTCCTTTGTCGGGTGGTACACGAAATGGATGTGCTTCAGGATGAGGGCATCACGCTCCGCCTGCAGCTTCTGCAATGCCTTGAACCGCTGCTCCTCCCCCAGAACATCCTGGATGACGCCCATCTTTTCCTTGCTGGGCTTAGCATCCAGCTCCAGTTCATAAAACAATTCTGAATATTCCAAAAGCAACTCTTGAAACTCTTCCTTTGCTTTGTCTATGATCTGCTTTTGGTGCTTCCCATAAATATCCATGTACACAGATTCTTCCAGCCACTGGTAGAAGTCTTCATTCATAATAAAGCTCCGGGCCTCTTCCCAAGGCTTCCCAGGCGTTATGAACGGCGAGGTCTCCAGGTTTTCTTTGAATGCCCTCCGCATCTCTGCCCTCTTCCTCTCATTCCGCAGCCTCTCTAAGTGGGCCTCGTACAGCTGCTCCGCAGGAACTGTGTCCATCAAGTCAAAGGGAACCCGCTCATTCTCCATGTTGTCGATGTGGCTGGTGGCATCCCACGGGGTCTCTTCAAGCACAACGAACCACTTCAGGAACTCCGGCTTGGTCTCTAAAAGCTTTTTGGCTTTGATGCAGCTGAGGTGGTCGATCTCATCTAGGTTCGGTATGAGAGCTTCAAAAGCCAAGGGCAGGGCTGCCAAGTACAGCTTCCTCCGGCGCTCAATGTGCTCGTGCTTGAGGCGGTGGATGTGCTGGAGAAACAGCTTCTTGGCTTTCTGCGTCCCTTCCAGGTAGACATAGTCCTGGTACTCGGGGGAGGCCTGCATCTTTCGGCTGACGCTCAGCCAGTTCTCGTTGTGATTTTTCACAATGCGACTCACGAGCCACTCGTACTTGTCTTTCGCTGTGGCGATCTGCTGACTCTGCTGCTTGAGAGCTTCAAAATAAGGAATAATTTTTGTCTTTCCCCGGCTCTTATCAATGAGCTGCACTAAGGTACTGAAAGCCAAGTCCACGTTGACGTTGGATCTCGCTGAGGTCTCCACAACCTGGAGGTTCTTTTTGCTTAAGGCAAAAGTATGTGCATCTCTAATGTACCGTTCAACACCCTCATCGCACTTAGTCAGGACCACCACGATGGGCTTTTTTGTTTTTGCAAGCTGGTTGTAGAGATTCGAGACAAACTTGAGCTGGTCATCAAAGTTCCTATTCATGCCCCGGCTGACATCAATCCCAAGAAGGAAACCATCGACCAGCAGCTTTCCATCGGGCATTTGTTTCTGCTCAAAGTCCTGCTCCAGCCCCAGCTGGTCAGTGCAAAAGTACATGAGTTTTTCAGCCGATGCGAGCTTGGTTGCAGCGGCTCTCTTGATGTAGGGCTGCAGGGCCGTGCTCCGATGAGGCTGAAAAGTCTGGTCATCAATAAATTCAGTCTGCTCCACAATGTGCATCTTACACTCCACGCAGTCCTCAAGGGAGCGGCTAACTTCTCCCCAGTAGAGAAAGTGGTCATTATTGACCACTCGCCCGCCAAAGTCACTGGTGCTGAGGACGGAGGTGTGGTCCAAGTGGAACTCATCAGCACTTGGACGCACGAAGCGGTTGCACAGACATGACTTCCCAATGCCACACTGGCCCTTCTCCTTCTCGGTCCCAGACAATCCCACCACGCTGATGTTGTAGGTGGGAATGCGGACATCTTGCTTCCTTGCCATCATCATCGTCGACACATCCTGCCACAATCAGCCACGTCCGAGATCAGGTTAGTGTTCCTGTGGAGGGAGGGCTCTCAACAGTGGCAGTAGAGGCCAGCTGCCCACGCGGTGCAAGAGTCAGAGCCCATGGTGCCGCACAGCGCAGCACCCCAGCGACCACTGCTTCTCATCGCCCAAGCGCCGACATTTCCTCCTAGACGAAGGGAAGGAAAGACACACAAAACTATGAGCATCAGAGTGTTAGAAATTTTAATTTTAAGCACTCAACCAATCAACTCTTTGACTCGGCAAATATTTAAATACCTAACATGGCAGGCTTTATACTAGGTGAAGATATGCATGCCTAAGACTCACAGAAGCAGAGCTGATACTGAAGCAGAAAAATACAAATCAGAAGTGTGCTGAAGGCTGAAGCATGGTGTGGGTGTGCCTTGGGAAAATGGCTCAATGTACAAACAGAGCAGGGTGTATCATGAGCAAGAAAAAGATGATACAGCATCTAACAGGGACACAGGTGTCATCTTGAAAGATGATTAGCTAAGTCTAGGGAAACTGGGTACCAAACTAATTGAATACAGTGAAGAATTACTACCCACTGCAGAAAACAGGAGTCGGGGTAGGGGGGGTGTCACAGAAATGGAGAGACAAAGAGTAACCAAATGCAGCAGTAGTACTCACTAGACACTATGTTGAAAATGAACTATACAATTTGTGGGCAGGAATGGGAGGGAAAAACTGGTAGAGAGCAAAGTAAGGAGTACACTGTCCAAAAAGAAACCCACTCATTACCTGACTTATAAAACAGTAACCCCTCTACATCATCTTTGTAACAACTACTTAAATATATATATTTAGATAATAATCTTAAGTATTAACAAAGAAAAATGTACGATGAAAACTACATATTATTACTAAAACAAACTGCTAAACAACAACACATCTCATGTTCAAGAACTGGAAAACTTAGTATTGTTAAGGTGTCAATACTGCCCAATGCAACCTGAAAATACAATGCAATCTCTATCAAAATTCCAAAGATGATTTTTGCACAAGAAGAAAACCCCCTCATAAAATTCCTGTGCAATCTCAAGAGACTCCTGCACAGCAAAAGCAACCTTGAAAAAGAACAAAGCTGGAAGACTTACATTTCCTGATTTCAAAATCTTACTATGAAGCAAAACAATGCAGTATTGGCATAAAGACAGAGCAATGGAATAGCACTAGAAAATACCTACATATGTTAACTGATTTCTATGAGGAAAGGACTGTGCTCTCAACAAATGGTGCTAAAAAACTAGACATCAGTATACAAAAGAATAAAGGGGGGGCTGGGAAGGTGGCTAAGTGGTAGAGCGCTTGCCTTGCATGCATGGAGACCCTGGGTCCGATTCCTCAGCACCATATAAGCAAAAAGAAAAAAGCTGGAAGTGGTGCTGTGGCTCAAGTGGTAGAGCACTAGCCTTGAGCTGAAGAGCTGAGGGACAGTGCCCAGGCTCAGAGTTCAGGCCCCACGACCGGACCCCCCCCCAAAAAAAAAAAGAATAAAGGGGGACCCTCACCTACACCTTACAAAAACCAACTCTAAATGGAAATAGACCTCAAACTATAAAACTCTCAAGAAGGTTGGGATGGTGGCTCAGCGGTAGAGTGCTTGCCTAGCATGTACAAAGCCCTGGATTCAATTCCTTAGCACCACATACACAGAAAAGGCTGGAAGTGGTGCTGTGGTTCAAGTGGTAGAGTGCTAGCCTTAAGCAAACAGCTTAGAGGCAGTGCACAAGCCCTGAGTTCAAGCTCCAGGACTGGAAAAATAAAATAAAAAACAAAAAACAAAACCTCTCAAGAAAAAACTTAAGGGGCTGGGAAGGTGGCTCAGTGGTAGAGCGCTTGCCTTGCATGCATGAGGCCCTGGGTTCGATTCCTTAGCACCACATAAGCAAAAAGAAAAAAAGCCGGAAGTAGTGCTGTCGCTCAAGAGGTAGAGCGCTAGCCTTAAGCTGAAGAGCTGAGGGACAGTGCCCAGGCCCAGAGTTCAGGCCCCACGACCCGACCCCCCCCCCCAAAAAAAAAAAAAAAGAAGAAAAAAACTTAAGAGCAAAAGACTCAAGGCATGGAACTTCACAATTATTTCTTGGATATGACACCAAAGGACTAGGGCAAGAAACAAAAAAACAAGATGGATTTCATGATTTTTTTTAATTGCACAAGACACTACATTAATAGAGTAAAAGAGCAAACCACAGAATAGAGAAAATCTGTGCAAGTCATATTTCTGATAAAAGATTAAGAACCAAATAAAACAGGACTCCTGAAACTCAACAGCAAAAATCAAACAACCCAATTCAAAAATAAGCAAAAGATTTGACTAGACATCTCTATACAGAAGATACACAAATGGTTGCAAAGCACACAAAAAGATGTCCAACCCCACTAAATAGTAGGAAAAGAAACAAACCCTTAAATATCACCTCACACTCACAAAGATGAGTGTCACAAAAATTAAAAATGAAATAAAATCAGAAAATAGCAAAGGTTGAAGAAGTGGAGAAATGGAGCCTGGGCACCGTTGGCAGGATGTACACTGGTTCCCCAACTGTTGAAAACAATCCGGGCATTTCTTAAAGTTACCACCACCCAGCAATTGTATTCCTAGGTATGTATCCAAACCCTTTGCAAACAGATTTTAGAATGCAGGGAACTACTGCTCAAAGGGAACTACAGTTCCTATTTAAAAGATAAAGTTATAGAAGTTAGTGGTAATGGATGAAGGACATCATGAATGGATTTAATATCCCTGAACTTTATGTCAAAAAATGCTCCAGATGCTCAATTTTATGTTACGTGTATTTTCCACAATAAAAATGGGGGGTGGATACAGGAAGGATAAAGCAGGGAAAAAAATAAAGCACTGATGTAAAATTGTGAAACTAATGGTTGTCATCTGAGGAAATATTCCCACTTTAGGAAATTCTCATTAAGTATTTTGAAAATGAATACAGATGGTCATTGAAAAAAAAACAGCAGTAAGATGAGAAATATTACAAACTCATGAGTAAAGTGTTAGCAAGGTGAATCTGACTAAAGTATACTGGATATTCCTTCTGCTATTTTCTTTCTCTTTCTTTCTTTCTTTTTTTTTTTCCCTGTCCAGACTGGGGCTTGAACTCATGGCCTTGAGCTCTCATTCAGCTTTCTTAATTCAGGGCTAATGTTCTACCACTTAAGCCAAGTCTCCAGTCTAACATTTTGCTGTTTATTTTGGAGATGGAATCTCACATACTTGTCTACCTGGGGCTGACTTTGAATTTTGCTCCTCTAGGTCTCAGCCTACTAAGTAGGCATGAGCCACCTGCATCCAGCTCTTCCTGTTACTTTCACTATTGTGACTTTGTCATTCTTTCAAATTAAAAAAAAAAAAAAATTCTCGAGGGTGAAAATGCAGCGTGAGCCTGGGGGGTTAAGACATAGAGCCAAGTACAGCACAAGACCCAAAACAAGCGTGACCACGGAAGGAATGACAGGCAAGACTAAGTACACACACAGGATCCCCCAAAGCCATACTTTCACACTCAGGTGGGTTTGTTCTCTAGAGGAAGTTGCTTCTCAGGTGATACCTCCAAGTATGTAGGGTATTTTAGACAAAAGGAATGAAATGTACAAAGACCCACTCCGCCCCAGAAAACAGGCTGGCCTAGTTAGGGGAAGAGCTGGAGTAAATCTGTGGGTTAGGAGTATGTGCAGATAAGAAGGGACAGGAGTAAGCCACTTTATAATATGGATTTTCCCTCAGGGCTCCAGGAACTCCAGGGTGTGGCTGGAAAATGGCACCTAAGCACTTTCCAGAAAAAGGATCCTGACTTTTGGCTGCCTGATCCTCCTGGTTCCTCACCTGCTCAAGTGTAATCGTAGGACCATTGAGCCCACACAGACTCCCGAGACCCAGATAGGAGAACTGAACAAATGCAGGGCAACAGCCTTTTGAAGCTCAGTATCTGGTAAGTAAGACCTGCCATTCCCACCGGCTTCCTGTTTCCATGCGTCCCATCATCAAACAATTCTGCTGGCACCAGGGACAACAAGTGGGAAAGCACAGGTATCTCACGTGACCTAACTCCAGAGGTCCTAGGCCTCTTAGAAACATCACCGTCCTCTCATCTCTTCTAATGCTAAGCCAGACCTTCCAAGACCAAACGTGATTAGCTTTTAAAGAGACATGTCAATGGCTGTGGGCAATGAATGGCTCCAGATAATGCCATGCTCCCCAGGACTAATCCAGGCTCTGGGCATCCAAACACCTAGGAGAATGTACCCTTCATCCTCTGGGACCATTCACGGAAACACAATTATGAGGGACTTGTGACTCCTAAAACCCATTGCCATCCATCCTTGAAATCCTGACCAGGAAGAGCTATGCAAGTCAGAGTCCTGCTGTGTGTGACTTGGTAGTACACAGACAATTGTGCTTTGTCCCATGAGGACACAACTTTGACAGAGCTTCTTGTGCGACCTAACAGAGCTCTTCCCTTCTCTATCTGCTCCCAAGCCCAGGGTGGTGAGTCTCCAGGTCTCTCATTTGACCAGTCTTGAAACTCAGCATGGCAATGCCAGTCCCAGGATGCCTGAAGTGACTGCTATGTGCCCTGAGCAAATCATCATTCATGTCTGTGACTCTCTCTGTAAAGTGGGGCTAATAATCTACCCAGCCTCAAAAGCTCAGAAGAAGAAAAAAAAAGAAACAAAAATTACTACCTCAATGGTGAAACCAACTACAATGCCCAGTCCATCAACTCCTTGTTCAGTCAGCATATCTTTAATGGCCAGACAGACAGTTCTCAAGGGGGACCAGAAAGAGCACAGCCACCTCTGAAGAACACAGACAGCACTAACAGGATTTGTAGGAAAAGGATAGTATATTGAGACAGGGTTTCACCATGTAGACCAGGCTGACCCCCAAATGGAGATCACCACTTCCACCATGCCTAGCTGCAACTGGTATTTTAAAAGCAGAATTATCTTGACAACAGAAATGTGATGATAGTCACCTCTCCGGGATGTTGCTCAGTGGTAGAGCTCTGCCTAGCAGTACACCAGGACTCAAACCCCTGCACCAGGGAAGAAGGAAAAAGAGTTACCAAAAACTAAAACTAAGAATTAGCTTGGGGGGAGGGGGGGGAGGGCTGAGAAGGCGGCTCA